TTTTACTTTTTCGAAGTTATGCTATCCCTCCTCACCAGCTTTATTGTATTTCATTTTATCTTCCCCCCCCCCCCTGCTTCTCCTTCTTTTTCTTTTTTTCTTTGGAAGTCCAATCTCTACGTTTGCTTTTTATTTTAAAGGGAAAGCTTTAGTATTTTTTTTTTTAAGGGATTTTTTTTTAAAGGTATTTTTGTTTTTTCCTCTACCTTTCTGGTTTATTCTTATGCACTCTTTTCTATTTGAGACCCTTCAATTGGATTAAGGTGTTGAAGAACCTGAAGAATTTTTCCTTTTCCTTTTCCTTTTTTTCCTTTTTCTTTTCCAAGCCTTTTTCTTCATCTAACTACTGATTGGATTAAGGTATACAAGAACCGGAAGAAATTTTGTCCTCCCTTTTTTTTTCTTTTTTCTTTTATCATTATTATTGGGCTTCTTTTTTCTACTATTTTTATTTTGAACTATAATTGGTTACTTCACAATTGGATTAAGGTTTAGAAGAACCTGAAGATTTTGAATTGCTTAAAATGAGGAGGAAATTTACAGCTCCTGGTTCCTCAACTTCTACTTCTTCCTCTCCACCATCTGGAGGACAACGTTCAATACAAAGAAAAAGAACAAGAAAAAGTGACTGCAGATGATTATGCAAGGAATTCAAAATATTCAAGCAAGATGAGAGAATATTGAAAAGAGAATAGAGAACATTGAACAAAGAACAGAGAACATTGAACAAAGAACAAGGAAAACCGATGAAAAAGTGGAGAACAGCCAACAAATGATGTTGAAGTATGATGAGAGATTCCAAAAAATTGAAGAAGATAAAGAGAAAAGAAGATTGGAGATATTGATAATAGATTAACAGTGATTGAACAAGATAAAAGTGGTATGATGAGATGGGAGATGGATAGATCAGAATTCTATCTTAGATTCCAAAACGTACAGGAAGAAAAAGGACAAAACTTAGCTGAGATGATGATAGAAATACTGGCTGAAGCTTTGGAAATAACTCGAGAAGATGATGGGTAGCATAGATGAGGTTTATTGAGTTTTCACAAGATATGCAATGAGAAATAGCTTACCAAGAGAAGTTCACATTAGATTTACAAAGAAAGCCATTAAAACGCAAATGGCAAAAGAGAAAACATTGAAATATAAAGACAAGGAGATTGCGGTCTTGAAACAAATACCCAGAAAAGTGAGAGAGATGAGAAGAGAATACCGATTCCTGACTAAAATGCTATTTAAAAAAGAGGTGAATTATAGATGGCTGATTCCAGAAGGTTTAATGTTCACATGGCAAGAACAGAGACAGAATTGACTCAATTGAGAAAGCGGAATTATTTTAAACAGAATTTCTTGGAGGGAAAGAAGAAGAGTCAGAAAAAGAGATCTCACTAATTGAATTCCAAGAGGACTGCCAAATGGCGACTGAAAAAGAAGGTGCAGTAGGTGGGAAGGTGGAAGCCAAAGAACAACATGAACTAAGATCTACGAGAGCTGCTAAACTTAACCACAAAATATAACCATGGAAGAGAAAAAACTGATTACAATTAATATAAATGGACTTAACTCAGCCGTTAAAAGAAGGAAAACCTTTCATAAATTAGAGAAATTAAAATTTGATATAATTTGTCTACAAGAAGTACATATTAAAAACAATATGAACAATTGTTGATACAGCCAAAATTAGGGAAAATATTTACTTCCTTGACACAATGTAAGAAAAGAGGAGTGGTTTTATATATTAAAGAAACCACCCCAGCAAAATTGATTTATACCGATGATGATGGAAGAATACTAATGGTGGAAATAATGGACGAAAACACTCCTGATTGCAATCTATGCTCCGAATGACAAACAAGAAGAATTCTACAAAAAATTACATATCAAAATAATTGAACTGGACTATGCTAATATAGTTATGATGGGAGATTTTAATGGAAATGTAGACAACAAATTGGACTATACAGCACAGAAAACAATAAAGCAAAACAGAAAGACTCTCCCTAAATCGTTTTTTTAAAATGGTAGATGAAATAAACTTAAAAGATATATGGAGAGAAAGAAATGCTAAAACTAAATAATACACCTCCTATTCAAAAAGACACTTATCATGGTCCAGAATAGATATGATATGGATGTCAACAGGATTAATAACTAATATTCAAGAAATAAATATTGGAACAAATATTTGGGCAGATCACAATCCAATGACAATTAAATGGAAAGGACAAAAAAGAAGATCTAGATGGACATTAAATAATACTATTTTAAAGGAAAAAGACTTCACACAGTGGATGGAGAAAGAATTGGCTTTTTTCTTTACAGAAAACAAAAAAGAAGATGCATCAATTCAGAATGTATGGGATACAATGAAGGCATATGTTAGAGGCTTGATAATAGACTATACAAGGAAAAGGAATACTATGAAAAGACTAGCCTCTAAGGCCTTAGAGGATGAGTATAAAAGACTTGAAAAAGAGCTACAGAAAATGCCACAGAAAAAGGACATCAAGCTAAAAATGGATATAATTAAACATAAAATGGGTCAAATAGAAAAAGAAGAATTAGCACAGAAAATTAGAGGTGCTAAACAGAACTAATTTGAAGACTCAGACAAACCAGGTAGATGGTTAGCATACAAATTGAGAATGGAGAAAGAATCAAGGAAAATATTGCAATTAATAGATGACCAAGGCCAAGTTTGCTATGGTAGTAAAGAGAAGAAGGAAATCATTTGAGACTTCTATGGGAAATTATATATGCAAGAGAATATTGATGAGGAAAGAGTTAAACAGTACTTACAGAACGCTAATTTACCTCAGATACCTAAAGAGACTGAAACAATGTTAGAAAGACATATAAGGATGATGGAGTTAACTGAAGCACTCAAGAAGTAAAATAATGGAAAGACACCAGGCCCAGATGGACTTCTGGCAGAATTTTACAAAACATTACAAGAATCGTTGAATTTATTTTCAAACCAGCCACCTTTCCATTTGGTTTGCCTAATTGGGAGTTGTACTATCAAGCTACAAATCTGATGTGGGTTAAGGAATGGATAACACTAAGAAATACTAGGGGTATTTTAGAAGACATTATATACGTGAGTCTCTGTGGTTAAACTGGGAGAAGATTAAAAGACAATGTTATTTGAAAATTCCAGTCTGGTTATCGACTATTGAAGCATTTTCTTATAATATACAAACAGTTAGATATGGTGAAATATTGAATGAAAAGGGTGAACTCAAATCTATACAAAAACTAGAGGAACAAGGTATAAAGATGAATTGGTTTTCATATGCGCAAATACATTCAAGGTATGATAAAGATACTAAAATGGAAGGTTTCTATGATAAATTGACTGATTTAGATAAGATTTTGACAGGTACTGATGAAAAGGTGATTAAAAAACTGTATGGATATTTATTAGAAATTAAATTAGAAGAAGTACAAGTTAAAGAAACTATGATTGCTTGGGGGAAGAATTTTGGATATGGGATTAATTTAGAGAAATGGCAAAAATTGGGGTCTCAAAATTATAAAATGACAATGTCAACAGCATATAAAGAAAATTTGTATAAGATGTTTTACAGGTGGCATTTTCCCCCGACAAGAATAGCAAGAATGTTCAAGAATAAATCTGAAAAATGTTGGAAATGTCATCAGACACCTGGCTCATATTACCATATGTGGTGGACTTGTGCGGATGCTAAAAAATACTGGACTAAAATCCACATGTGGTTGGAAAAAATGACAAAAAAACATATAGAGTTGAAACCAGAGATATTTTTATTGGGAATTTTACCTGAAATATATCGTAAAGACTTGAAATACCTGATTGTAAATGTATTAACAGCAGCCAGGATTGTATTTGCTAAAAACTGAAAAAATGAGAAAATACCATCACAGGAGGAAATCATTAAGAAAATATTGGAATGTGCTGAAATGAGTAGATTGACATTTGAAATGAGAGAACAAGAGGATAAACAATTTTATAAAATTTGGGATCTATTTTATCAATGGTTAGACAATAAAATACAGTAATGGAATATGTAGACTTTTAGAAAATAATAAATATATAAAGATGTACTTATTATATGTACAAAATGATTTTAGGATAGATTTGGGATGATAATATGAACTGTTATAAAATAAACTAAATTATGATTATCTTGTAAAACATGTATGAATAAAAGTATAGTCAAATGATTGATTAATAATGATACTAAGGTATTTAATTTTTGATTGAAAATATGAGATTATATGCAATGTAATTGTAATTGAAGACTACGAAATGGAAACACAAAACAATTTGTAAACCAACCGGCACACTGTATGTACACATATGGAAGATAGCTTGATGTTTTTATGTTTTGTTTGTTTATGTTTGTTTTTAAAAACCCATATTTTTTTAAAAAAATGCTTAGCTTGTCAACCCTGGTGCGAACCTGGCTGAGGCCATCTTTGAGGCTTCAAGTTTGCCACAAGGCAGAAGAAGAGATGGGGGTGGGTGGGAGGAATAGATAGCTGGGGTTTGTAGTCAAAACAAAAAATTTCCTGTGGGAACCAAGGACATTCCAGCAGGTGCTGGGGAGAGGAGGAGTGGAGTAACCAAGCAACTGGCCAGCACCTCTATTGGACAATGTGACTGATGGCTTGGGGGAAGGGGGAACTTTCACTTTTTAATTAGGTGAAAACCACAGGAACTTCCAGATTCAGTTTTCACCAGTTGTGTCAATAAGATGCGTCCAATAAATTGTTCTTTGAGGAATCTACCTGACCCGGAGTTCTGTTTTCTATGGGTGTATTACTTGGAATACTGACATAGCTCCTTAAATGACCTGTGAGCAGGCAGATCAGCTTTAGGGCCATCTAGTAAGAAACAAGCAAGTTTGTTCCTGCATAAAATGGGAATAAAAAAGGAGAAAGAACAGTGTGTAAAAGTGCTCTTAACTGCAAAAATAACCAATGCACATTTGCTTGCTTTTTTTGTTTTAAAGGATCCACCCTCCTGAGTACTACAAGGAGAAATATGGGGTTAACGAAGTACACTATACAGATGAGGTGAGTTCCCTACATTTTGCAAAGTTAAAACCACAGTTGGAGATGGGTGGGAGGGCAAGTAATTTTCAGGTTAATAACTGACTCTGCAGGTTAAAGAGAATGAAAAGGGAGCTCCGTGGATGACACAATCTGGAATGACATGACACAGAGGCAGTGAGGAGAAAAGAGAGGGACGAGCCAGCTCAGGCCAGTTCTTAAAGGGATTTGCTCCAAGGGCTCTGACCTTCTCCTCCTCTCCGTGTGCAGAATGGGGTTGCAAGGCCACCGGGATGGTTGCTCAAATTTCTGCTGGTTCCATCAACTCCCTTTCCAGGGTGGTTAGATGAGCTGATGCCTCATTGTCTAAGACAGGGTTGTCCAACCTTGGTAACTTTAAGACTTGTGGACTTCAACTCCCAGAATTCCTCAGCCAGCAAAGCTGGCTGAGGAATTCTGGGAGTTGAAGTCCACAAG